AAGTTTGAAGTCGCTGTGCGTTTCTGCGGAGTTCAAACAATTTAAATAAAAATAATTTAACATTAATATAATAATCTATTAAAAAGACGGTCTAAAGGTTAAAGAAGAACGCACAATAAACATAAAATTAAAAATTCTTAAGAAGAATGAGGTAAATATTTCATCCAATACTGATTTAGACATGTTTGAGGTGTGTGTTGGGCGTAGTCTAAAGCAAAGACCGCGTTATGTATATTACACAATTATACTTTCTCTATTCAAACGGGATTTGTTGAACGTATTTATTTTAAAATGACGTGTACATATGTACATATATATACATTTTGAAAAATATGGTTAAATATTAATTCATTAAAAGACTTAGCAGGCTACAGAATATTACAAGATTTGGCCCTTAGCAGACGAGGATAATGCACTTTTTACAATGTGCCAAGAATTTTCCCGCTACAACTCAAAGAGAAGAAATGTAGTGGCGGATCTAGAGGGAGTTTAGTTCTTTCCTCTAAGAGAGAGCAATTTTAGGATACCAACATATTTGTTGCATTTTTATTAAAGTAAACTACACTGCATATCTATTTGTAGATTACATTAAATTTTAGTTTTAAACTTTTAATGTAAATGCCATACAGGCCCACGGTTCAAAAGTTGTTGACGCAGAGTACCAAGGGTTAATAATGAACATGCATTATATAATTAAGAAAATCATGCAATGTCGAGCACAAGCTTTTAATATCACGAGGATATATATTAAAAGATAGATGTAAGATATTTTAAAAACAGATCACCATAGTCTTTAGTTGCTTCATAAAAGGAACATTAATTGGTTTGCGGCCGATTTTTGACGCTTGCGTCAATATTATCGTTTTACTAACAGCGTGACAGTTTGCTTGATGGGGCGGGCTAAAATTTCGTATGCTGATTATCATTTACTCAGCGATTAGATGTTTGATTTCAATGGAATCAATAATACTTTGCATATGAAACACAGAACCCAGCAATACCCCTGACAAAACTGACCAATCGCATGGAATAAACAACGATTACATGTGAACGGACAAAGCAAGTTTTACTTCCTATAATGATGATATTGATAGCTACATAGTACAACAGTAGCAGAGTAGCCTTACTAATTCCATTCTTTAAATTTTCTTATGCATGTTATACGTATTTAAAAACCCATCCGGTCAAAATACAACAAATATAATACATGTTTTTGGGGACAGAAAACGGGCTTTGACTGATCACGTGTTGCTCCTGACTACAAATGCCGTACTGGAAAAGAACCTTTCAATGTGATTGGCCAGTATTATCGGGGTATTGTAGTATTCCGAGTTTCATATGCAAATTAGTATTGATTTCATTGATCCAATCGATGAGTAAAATGATAACCAGCACACAAAATTTTAGCACGCCCCATCAAGCAAACTGTCACGCTGTTTGTAAAATGATAATATATGTTTCTTGTCTTAATTTTTAGAAAAACACAGGAACGTGTGGACAAGACCCCCCCCCCCCCCTTGATATTGAACCCCAGGGCTTAATTCTCTGTTATGTGTAGCCTTACAATACGAAAAAATCGCTGGCGTAAAACCCCCAGAATAATCCCTCAACCAAAAAAACAAAACAAAACAAAACAAAAAAAAACACTATTTATTACCCCACTTCACAAGAAAGAATGCTGTTTACGGAGAAAATGTGGGATTATGACGTGATGCAGAGTCAGTCCGATAGCATGGACGAAGACAGAAATACATTGTATATGTAGAGACAGTGTGAATCGACATTTAAAGTTAAAACAAAATAAATGCATTTAATTAATACCAGTGGGGGTACAACGTAAACAGACTGCAGTGACATATCCTTCTCTTATAATGTATAGTGGGTATTTGGGGGGGGGGGGGGGGGGTGTTGAGCGATTATTCTGGGGATTTTACAATTTTTTGTTATTGTACACATGATGAATAAGTTTAATAAATATAACTCGTGAAAAAAATGTCCAATAAGCCCTAGGGTTGAATATCGAGGCGGGAGGGGGGAGGGGGGAGAGGTGATACCGTCCATACATGTAAGTACCTGCGGTTTTCCTTACAGGGGAAATGCACAAAATTTAAGTTTAGTAGACAATTCAAAAATATATATATTCCTGATATGTGAAATCTATTTAATATTTTAGAATCTATAATATGAATTGAAATATTTTTTGCTGATCAAAATTCCATTAATTATTTAAATTTCCTTCTAATATATATAACACTTTTTCTTGTATTGTAATTTAATGAAATGACCCATTTGATATAATTATATTGAACTATTTCTTGATAGTAAAAACATAATAAAGGGAAGTAATCAAATGTTGAACCCGCTTTTGATTGGTTCGTTTGGATCTTGAATCTCGAAACTCGAATTTTGAATCTCGAATTTTGAATTTTGAATCCCAAATTTCGAATGTCGTATTTGGAAACTCGAATCTCGAATGAGCCTTCTGGGCTTTCGTAGGTACGTGTACTTTTCAACAAAATATTTTTAATCACGATACAAGTAAAAGCTGAACTTGACTAGATGAGATAGAAGTTGCTGTATCTCAGCAACACCAGCAAGTTGGTTTGACAAGAAACTTATTTTGACTTAGGGAAATGTCGAATGTTGACAAAATTTATCTAAATGGCACAAATTCTTCACCGAGGAGACCTCTTGGGGATATATATTTTTGTATTTGTCGTATGAATGACCCAACAATTCAAATACCCAAGCCCCTCAAGGATTATAGTAACTGAGGTGAAAAACATTTCCGTACACATCTAAATATTTTTGGACATCGTTTCCTTCAACTTTTAATTACTACTTAGAAGCCTTAGAAGATTGGGCATTAGGTTTAAGGCTTTATGTTCAATGAGGAAAAATGTGATGTGTTTGATACCAAATTAAAAAACAAATACACAAAAATACTCAAATCGATTAAGCATTTGTTAAATTCATTACAGATTAACCATAAGTAATGCACTTAAAAAGTTCACAATCAACGACGAGGAAGTGGCTTAAGTAAATATTAAATTAAAAAACACATCCTTCTTCTTTTATCTAAATTTGCAAATTAAACAAGATTAAATGGATTTGTGTTGACACATCACAACCAAAATAAAAATTTTAAAGTAAAAGGGAATCCGCCCATAATTGCATAAAAGACATTTTGTATACCTTTATAGTTGAACAGATTAATTGTCTATAAAAATTTTATACTATGCAGTTGCAAAGTTGATGTTATACTAGAAAGGAATCATATTTTTGTTTATAGAAAAATGCACAGTTTATCTATAAAGTGAGTTGAGCACACGTAATGATACAAAAGGTACTCGTTTTTTCTCTCTACATTTCAATCAGAATGAACAAAGATGGTGCAAAGATAAATATGCAAAAACATTAAATAGCAAGCTAATTCTTCCTCTCTGTGAATCACCTTAGAAAAGCGCTAATATACTTTGCTCGCTTAGCATATTTTATGGAGAAATTTATTTAGAAATACATATTTATGAAATATGGCAATACACAACAAATACTAAAAGTGAGATTCTCTGATTTAGAATCTCTAATTCAGATGTGATTGCTGCTATTTTGAATCTAATTGTCAAGTTCAAAGTTTTGAAAAAAAAAAAACTATTGGAGATAAATTTTCCTTGTTGATTTAAAGATATATGATACATGTGTATTTTTCTCGACTTATACTGATTTAAAAGGAAATAGACCGTAACAGTAGAGATAATTTACGTTATTTTTCTGGATATGACACCAAAAAGTGCAATATATCTTTTATTTTACATTACAGGATGTACACTTGGTTTGGTTATGGTAAGCTTTTGTGATTTTAAATATTTAATTATTTATATCGATTGATATTTAAAGAATTATAAATCATTTTGGTTTCATAAAGAAGACACAAGGATATTTAGTTCATAATAAGTACACTTAAAAAATATTAAACAGTCTAACCATGTAAGTGAGTATGCCGTAAAGTTTAGTTGGTCCAGAACGTACAATTTAATACATGTACATCTATAGATTGTACGAGTATATTGGATTGCATTTCAGTTCAGTTACTAGCACATCTAAAACTTTGTAACGAATTTGTATTCGAATCCCATTTTGTTATTATTGTATTTTTCAATTCACTTGATATTCTCACCAAAATTGTGTCTACGTTGTCAGGAAATGACAGCAGGATGAGACAGACAAAAGTCTTTGGGATAAAAGTGACAGATGTTCATTTTAGGATGATATATTCTTTGCGTATCAAGATGAAAAATATAGAGATAACGACAACATTCAAGTTCAAAAGTCCACTAAACAATACAAAATAAGAGTAGAGAAAACAAGTTGTATTGTCAATACACCGAAGATTGGATCAGGTGCCATGAAGCAGTAAGCATCCTCTCCCGACCGGTCATACCCACTGTGTGGTCCTTGTCATGATCGGGAAATCTATTGGTATAGTCAGTATATAATGCCCAATAATAATTATAAAAAAGACTTTTATTATGAGGATTTCATTATATCGATCAGATAACTTTAGAAATAATGAATTTAAACGAGACTGCTGATATTTTTGTTTCAGCAACTTGTTTGTCAATATCTTACTTTATTTTAAAAATTACTAGGTAGACCATGCTCTTTTGTACCGAATCAACTGAAAGTTATAAACCCTGTTTGCAGGTGAAGAAGACATATTGCTGCATAAGCAAGGAAATATGACAATTGAAAAGTTAAAGTCATTTCAGTTGTCATAAAGGAATTCAACCCCAAAAAGTAAAAGAAATGGTTTTTTAACTAAAAGTTTGCAATTATTTAAGACAATAGCGAAAAACTATTTTGAAACATTTTTGCGGCGACTTAATGGATCCGGAATAGGTAAAATAAGTATGTTTCATATAAACATGATAAGATTTCAAAATATACATATCATATTCTAATATAACACATGTTTATACAAATTCACATAATGGGTTGAAATGGGTACAATGCGCGATACTTCTAGGGAAAACGTAGTTTATGAATTGAGAGGATACTCGTTATCAAATTCAGCCCTAAAATGTGATTTGTCCCGTTTAAGGCATCGCCAATTAAAAAAAAATTAGCATGTACGATTTGTTTTGACTACTGTAATTTACATAGTTAACTTTGTGTGTGGTGATGGTGGTCTTTTCACTGTTTTATTTTAAACAAAAATATTGCCGCATGTAATTTTCTTACATTTACGTTTCAGAAATGAGTGGTAAACTTAACAAATTTCATTTTACCTTCTTCTATAAATTATCTATTCATATGACAATATATGGATTTCTTTTACATGTTTTATTCAGTTAATATAGCTTTGAATAAACCGACATGGCAATCAAAGCAATATTATCTATGGTATGATCGATTCGACTCCAGCAATGCGGTTGATGGACTTAAATCTGACCTGAGTGCATGGGGTGGACAGTGTGTCATGTCAGAACGCTTTCAGAGAACTTCCACCTGGTGGGTAAACTTGACATCAATCCACAGCATTCATGACATAAGGATCTATTACAGGACGGAAAATGATGTATGGAGTAAGTTATTTTCTACTTGGAATAAAAAGGAGGTTAACTCACAGAACATGTATGAACCTAAAGGAAATCTGAATATATTATGCTTGCACTGAAAATAAAATCTTGTGACCTATTAATATTTTACCTTGCAATTAGTTACAATATTTGATAAGCAAATTGCTTTTTAAGAATTTTATAAAAAAAAAAAAGTAAAAGAATGAATGAGATACAGTTATGTAATGGCCAATATTTGCACCCAAAATAATCGACGGAGAAATAAATCATTATGTTTTAAAACAGTGGGATATCTGCAGACCTATATTAAAGTACTATATATTTTTATAAGCATTAACGTTTTACGCTCGATATTACGTTAGGAAAATGCCAATTTCTACAGGAAATGGTGTCTACAGTGTATTACATCAATATTTTTAGCGAAAGTCACCGGGCGCAGGTCCGCTTAAGCTCAATATTTTGATATATTGTGTAGAATGATAATTTCAATGGAATATGTAAGTATTGATCTTTGTAATGTCATAAAACAAAAAATAACCAGTAACCTACTTTGAAACTTTAATATTGTTTTTGTAAATTTAGATTTCTTTTACAAAATACAAGTACAAGTAGGCAATTTAGAACATTTCGAGTAATTTTTCAAAGTATTACTGGAGGGGGGGGGGGCAAAAGTATGCAATGTAATGCATATTTTTCTTTGAATCACGATTTTGCCCTAGAATGCATATGCATCTTAGCAATTATTTCACTTTCAATTAAAGAAAAGTATATACAAAAGATAAATTTATGTAGAATATGAAACAATTCACATGTAAATGTTTGTATTCCAGATGCATCCAACGTCTACACAGAAAGATTTCTTGGATTTTATGTTTTCGTATCTAACACAACAGAGAGATTGAATGGTCAATTATGTTTCCATGATACAGATTATAATAAATCTACTATACCTGCCGTAGCCAATATAACATGCCCAGTACATGGACAATACGTCATTTACTATAATGAGAGACTTTCTAATGTCACATATCCGGTTGGATATTCCACTGATGCCCATAATGAACTCTGCGAGGTGGAAGTTTTCGGTATGTTGCACATTTATGGATAAAAAATCTTCAAGCTTATTCTGCTTTATTTCATACAAAATTCATATATAGATACTGTAAGTGATACTTCTTTGTCATATAAACATGCAGAGAGCAAATAAATTCATACCTGTTTAAAAAATTTTCACATCATAATACATATAAATATGCCTTACTGAAATTATCCTTAAATTCTTCTGTTTGTTAGTTTGGTGAATCCAGAGCTCTTAAACGTTATGTACATCCATTATGTACTTTGTAAAGTACACATCAATTTTATGTTTGTTTAATCTTATGGTAAAATTTGGTTTATTTTTTCTAAAGATGTGAAACTGGCTTTTATGGATCGAATTGTTCTCTCCCCTGTCCTGAAAACTGTCGTTCTTGTCACATAGAGACAGGTGCTTGTACGTGGTGTAAACCTTGATATCAAGGATTACAATGCAATAGTGGTAAGAGAAAGAAATAGATATTTTGATGTGGTATTTTTGAGTACCAAACGTGAATATAATTTTTAATTTAAAAAACAGGCTGAATTAACTGTTATTTTCTACAAACACAGCTATTTCATATTGATAAAAGAAATGTTGTTTGTTTTTTATGCGCCCAAATCGATAGATCGGGGACGCACATTTTTTGTCCTGTCTGTCTGTTATATCTTTTACACCATGAAAGATGAAAGACCATGAAAGATAGAGACTTCATATTTGGTATGTACACTACATCAATTAAGGTCTTTCAAATGTCACCAAGGTCAATACCCTTGTGACCTTGACTGTGAAATACCTGTATATGCTAAAATAGCCTTTTTAACCTTTGCAATAACTTTTGAACAATGAAAGATAGAGACCTCATATTTGATATGTGCAAAATGCATGACAAGAAGAAAACACTTGCCGCGGCCTTCAACTCAACATTCAGATATATCGTCAACGTATTGTCAATTAACAATTTTTTTTCCATTCATGTGTCGATACGATATATCCTGGGGAGCTTGAGATAAAAGATACCACAGAGTCTGACACATCTCCTTCATACTTGGATATTTTAATTGAAAAAGACGTTAATGGTAATCTTACAACCAAGCTCTATGATAAACATGATGACTTTAACTTTTCTATCGTTAACTTCCCTTACTTATGCAGCAATATACCTTTATCACTTACATACGTACATGTAGTTTATGTATCTCAATTCGATATATACGCAAAAGCATGCTCTACGTATGAACAGTTTCTAAAACGATGTAAGTTATTGACAGACAAGTTGATGAAACAAGAATATCAGCAGTCTCATTTCGTAAGTTCTTTGGTCGATACAATGACCTTGTCAGCAAATACAATGTATCATTAAGTCAAATGCTGGCTGACGTTTTTCATACTAATTGTTAGTTCATTATTTATACATTGATTTGACGACGGATTTTTCCGTTAATTCCCGATCATGACAAGGAGCACACGGCGGGTGTGACCGGTCGGCAGGGGATGCTCAATTCTCCATGGCACCTGATCCCACCTCTAATGTTTTAGAGGTCCATGGTGCTCTGCTCCTGTTTTGTATTGTTTTATGGACTTTGATATTGAATACTGTTCGTTGTCTCCATATCCTTTATGCATACTTCCTAATTAAGTTCTCTAAAACGACACCAAGGCCAATGAATTTGAGACCTTGACTGTGACTTATATGTTGAAAATAATTTTTTTGAACTTTGTTGCCGTAGAGCGCATAGTCTTTCACAAACACATCTTGTTTCAGGTAGGAATTTAGCGAAACAACACCAGTGATATAAGTGTAGAATTTAAAAAAAAAAAAAAAAAAAAAAAGCAAAATATTTTCCCAATATTTTCGCTTGTCTTTTATTCCAACTTGCCTTTTATATATATCATTTAAATATGAAACAATATGTATAAATTATTCCTCTTATATGCATAAACACGTAAAATATATTTGAGGGATCACTTTTAAGCATAAAAGTTTTCATAGTGTCAAGTATATTGGTTGAGTTTAATAGAATGCAGCGGTGGAAAATATGGACAAGATTGTGAAGAGAGTTGTGGCGCTTGTTTGGGATACAAACAATGTCACCACGTCAATGGATCTTGTTCGGAAGGTTGTGACGCTGGGTTTGAAGGAATTCTTTGTAGAACAGGTGATTATGTTAATAAATATTTCATGTAAATAAATATGCTCTCCCAGGAGATAACCTAAAGCATCATTCATCCTGTTGCTCAAATAAACTATCAATAAAGAGAAAATGTTCAAGATAATTCCTCCATGGTGTATACTTTTCAGAGTGTTCACTTGGACGATTCGGAACAAACTGTGAAGGATTCTGCAGTAAAAATTGTGGAGTGTCTAATATATGCAACAAAACGACCGGAGAATGTGAGAAAGGATGTCAACCGGGCTGGATTGGACTTCAATGTACTAAAGGTACTCTGTATATATGTTTGAACAAGGTTGTGCTCACCTTACTCATAGGCTTTGATAAGGAGGAATTTCCACATGCAAAACATCCGCTTATAATTGAATAACATGTACATGTATACATGTACTCGATGTATTTCATAGAGTGTGATGGAAGTAAATTTGGACAGGATTGTGGACAGAGTTGTGGAGCCTGCCTTAATTATATAAAATGTCATTTCATCAATGGTTCATGTCCGAAAGGTTGTGCCGCGGGATTCAAAGGAGAACTCTGTAAAACAAGTAATTTACATTGTGATTTATCTAAGAAAATATTCAAATATTCAAAATTTCAATAATCTTATTAGGATTGAAAAGTGTGGGTAAGAAAAAGTAAAAAAGGTGTTCAAAAAATTGAAATAAACTCTCATGCCAGGTTGTCCTGAAGGCACATTTGGAATCAACTGTAAACAAAATTGCAATGAACACTGTAGTATACCTTATCGGTGTAACAGAGGGACAGGGGAATGTGAGGGGGGATGTCAACCAGGCTGGGAGGGACTTCGATGTGAATCAGGTACAAAGATTTTGGGGATCAACTTCTTTGTCAAGAATAATATGTTTGTCTTATTTATCTATTTGTCGTAAATTAGTTTCCTGGTTACATGAGTGCCCAAAATGTGCTAGAGGTATACTTTACTTAAAGTTTAACTGCTTTTTAAAAGAATCTTTTCATTTCTTTTATTGTAACTGTTCTTTTTCATACATTCAAATAGCTTGCACAGAAAATAATTACGGTAAAAACTGCAGCTATGCCTGTGGGTTTTGTCAGAATTCTCCTTGCCATCATGTAAATGGTTCCTGTCCAGGGGCGTGTGTGGAAGGATATCAAGGAGCATTTTGCATTGAGGGTAACATGTTTTTCTACCCCCCTCTCAAAACACTGTCTGTACAGCAGTAAATGAAATTAACTTGTCAATTCATTTCGGTAATCTAATCAATTTTGTGTGAAGTTTCATTTAATTGAAATAGTGTGCAAAAAAGGCTTTTATGGAGATAATTGCAAAGAAGAGTGCAGTCCCTTTTGTAAGTCATCACGTGACTGCCACCACGTGACAGGACATTGTAATGAAGGATGTATTGGTGGATGGCAAGGACTTCAATGTTTGCAAGGTGGATATTCTTTTATATGTTCATAAAGATCAGCATATGAATCGTTCCATCCTGAATTATAAATTACGCATGCTTGATAATACATGTACATCTAGCAGACTTGTAAAGGAAAAGTGTCTTTTATCCGCAGTCGCAGACAAAAAAGATGACGTGGATTACCTGTCACGGTTCAATGGTGTTCTTGTCGCTCTCTGCGTATGTACAGCAATAATCATGGGGATGTTGGTCTACCTTATTATCATAAGGTTGGTCTTAAATAAATATGAGATGCATGTGTTTCATTCAAGAAAGTTCAAAAATTACATTTTGTCTCAATAAAATTGAAATAAGATTATAAGGTTTCTATGCATAAAAACCTAATGCCTGTAAATAAAGAATCAGAAGTTCACGTAAGTCTGCACAAAATGTTATAACCTGTAAATATTGATTCAGACTTTGTGTGAATCTTTCTGATCATTTACGGTATACTTCTGTAGTAAAATAGAAGAACAATTCAAATGCCATTTATATAATTTTTTTAATATAACGTTGCCAAAAGAATAGTTTCATACATAACAATCAAGCTTTAAAATTCCTCGTGTTACAAAATATGCATTTTATATATCGTAGAGGAAGAATCAAACAAATGTATAAAGCACAGAAATTCAGAGAAGACTGTGACTGTAAGGCCAAGGAAGGCGGATTGGACCTCTATACCATTTCTGGAAAACCAGATGAAGATGACAGCAGCAAATATCAAGACTTTGGTGAAATGGCGCGGTCATCAGAATACGAAAACTTCTGATGAATCCAATTTATAGCGATAAAAAGATGAGCTATGTTATGTATAGTTATATATAGTGTCTTTTTATGTTTAAAAAATATATCAAATTTAGAATCTAAAATTCTAAATTTTTTATATTGAACTGCATCGGGGATATCATTGATCAGTTAGAAATATTATTGTGAGATATTGTACGATTGGTCAATAACATTAAAAGTTTGCTTCGATTCTTTTATTACGTCAATTACAACTAAAAACACTTGCTTACTTATATCCTTGTTAAGAAATTCAGAATATGAGTATCTTTCACCTCAAAGGGAGTTTTATGACCCAGAATCCTTAATCTTAAATATAAACTTATATGAGATAATTTCTACTTTTTTCATGATACCTCTATGATATGTTCATAGTTAAATTAACAATAGATTATTCATATATATATTTATGTTTGTTTACATAATGATTTTTGAAAAGCAGAAAATATTTTGGTCGATATAGTCAAACTTCTTAACATTTTTGAAAGTAAATTTGACGTGATTATTTGTTAGTTTTCCTGATCGAATTACCGAATTACAAAAAAAAATTCAGAATACACAGTAAATTACTTTCGAGTTCCTTGAACATTTTGAAAATTTCACGCAATTTATGTACATAAGATAATGACTTCGGTACGATGTTATGTTTGACTTGAGGTGCTAACATAATTTTAGAGCAGTGGGTATATCGAGAAGACATATATTTAAATATATTTTTAAATAATACAAGGTATGCAACTACCAATTAATCATTACAGAGAAGTGTGAAAATAAATTATTTGTCTTCTTCCTTCATGCGTAAAGCCCGGCGAAGGGCTAGGAGATAATTATGCACGGTGAAGCCCTGGTAATTTAGTACTTTAATATTTTTTAGAATCGAAAAACTTAAGAATTTTTTATTGAAGTTTCAGTAAGAGATAATTTATATGTTTGAATTTCCATTCCTACGTCGATACGATATATCCTGGTGAGCGTGGGATAAAAGATACCACAGAGTCTGACACATCTCTTTCATACTTGATTATTTTACTTGAAAAAGACATTAATGGTAATCTAACAACCAAGCTATATGATAAACGTCATGTCTTTAATTTTTTTGTTGTCAACTTCCCTTACTTAATATGCAGAAATATACCTTCATCACCTGCATACGGAGTGTATATATCTCAGTTGATTCGATACGCAAGAGCTTGCTCTACGTATCAGGGGCGTGGCAACAGGGGTCCTGCCCCCCACCCCCACTTTTTCCCAACATTTACCTTTACTATTGAAAATGTCTATTGAAACCTTGCCCCCCCCCCCCCCACTTCTTACCAGAGAATAGTGATTTGTGGTTTTTTTATGAAAAAAAAATTGAAGTGAAAGGAAGTTGGCCTTGAAAAAAGTTGACCACTAACCCCCACCCCATTCCACCCACTCCCCAAATCCCCACGCAATAGGATTTCCGAGTTTGAACAATTTTGGAATTTTTTTTTACTTGTTAACTTTTACGGGTAAGTAGGATTTTTTTTCTTAGCCCCCTACACTTTCAAAAACGATGCTAAGTGCCTGCGTATGAATATTTCTAAAACAAGGTAAATTATTGTAAAGCAAGTACCGTATAAGTGGAAATTTTAGCGAGACGCAATTTTAGCGATTTGTCCTTAAAAATGGTATTTTATTTTTAGCGAGATGTAATTTTAGCGATTTTAAAATGTTCATTAAAGAAGCTATTACAAATAAAACGCAATTAATTTTTAGCGATATTCAATTTTAGCGATCTCAGCACCCTCGCTAATAATGCCAAAATTAAATCCTCGCTAAAATTTCTACTTATACGGTATATGAAACATGAATATCAGCCGTCTTGTTTAGATCCCAATTCGTAAATTCTATGGTCGATACAATGACCTTGTCAGCAAAAAACAATTTATCATTGAGTCAAATGCTGACTGTCGTTATTCATGCTAATTGTTAGTCCATTATTTATACACTGAATTGACGACGGAACAGATTTTTCCGTTATTTCCTGATCATGACAAGGAGCACACGGCGGGTGTGACCGGTCAGCGAAGGATGCTTACAACTACATGGCACCTGATCCTACCTCTGTTGTTTCGGAGGTCCGTGTGATTTGAACGAAATTGAGAAAAAAGAAATATTGAGCAACATTACATAAAAAAAACAAGAGGCCAAGGGGCAACAGTGCTCACCTGAGCACATCGGCTAGGAAAAAGCACATATCAGTTCAGAACTGAAAGTTTACTGAGGTTGGCGGGGGGCTTGAACTTTAACCCCCTGGGGTCATGATTTGAACAAACTAGAATCTACACTACCTGAAGATGATTTCATATAAATATCACTAATCATGGCTTTGAAGTACTTAAAAGAAAGATTTTAAAAGGTTTCCCTATATATTCAATGTTAAACTTTTACCGGCCATTATGGCCCCACCCTACCCCCGGGGATCATGATTTGAACAAATTGGAATCTACACTACCTGAAGATTACTTCACAGGAGTTTCATCTTTCCTGTCTCAATGGTTCTTGAGAAGAAGATTTTTAAATTTTTTTCCTATATACTCTTATGTAAAACTTTGATCGGCCATTTTGACCCCGCCCTACCCCCGGGGGTCATGATTTGAACAAACTTGAATCTACACTACCTGGAGATAATTCCACATGTGTTTCATCTTTCCTCGCCCAGTGGTTCTTGGGAAGAAGATTTAAAAAGTTTTTTTCTATATACTCCTATGTAAAAATTTGATAGGCCATTTTGGCCCCGCCATAACCCCAGGGGTCATGATTTGAACAAACTTGAATCTACACTACCTGGGGATGATTCCACATGAGTTTCATCTTTCCTGGCCCAGTGGTTCTTGAGAAGATTTTTAAAGATTTTTCCTATATACTCCTATGTAAAAATTTGATCGGCCATGTTGGCCCCGCCCTAACCCGGGAGGTCATGATTTGAGCAAACTTAAATTTACACTAGAGGATGATTCCACATGATTTTCATCTTTACTGGCCCAGTGGTTCTTGAGAAGAAGATTTTTTTAAAATGCCATTAATTTTTCTCTAATTCATAATTATCTCCCCTGGGAAAAGGGTGTGACCCTTCATTTGAACAAACTTGAATCCCCTTTACCCAAGGATACTTTGTAGCAAGTTTGGTTGAAATTGGCCAGTGGTTCTTGAGAAGATGAAAATGTGAAAAGTTTACAACACCGACGACGACGACAACGAGAAATGACAGACAACGGACAAATTTTGATCAGAAAAGCTCACTTGAGCCTTTGGATCAGGTAAGCTAATAAAAAGGAATCGTAATCTAGCATTTTTACAACTTATTTTTTTATTTACTTTTTGGAACAGACAGCACAAATAATCTCTCTTCCCTCGACATATGGTGGACATTTCAATGAACCACAAAGCCCCTCTACAAAATAGAATAGGTAGCCGTCTTTACCTGCTTTGCCACCTTGTAAGGTGTCTGGATTCTCATCCACACACTTGTATGATGTTCCAGCATTATGACCGTAGTATCCAGCCATTAGATAACCTTGGTATTTAAGGCTCCATCCTTTGTAACATGTTCTTGTTGCTTCAATACAGAGAGAATAATTATTATATAAAACATAATTTTATATAAAAATGATGAGCAAACGCTGTGAATTGAATTTTAACCATTGCTGACGGAACTAACAAATCATTAAAGAGGGGTCTAATAAAAAAGAAATTAAAATAAATCATAATAATAAATGAAAATTCTAGCTTATTCCTAATTCAAGAAGTGAAACATTTCAAATAAAAGATTTATGGATTGTTTGTTGTTTAATGTCCCTCTCGAGAATTGTTCTTTCATATGGAGACGTCATCATTTGTCGGTGGAAAGCTACAAGTTTCATCTTTTACTCGGCACCAAGGGCCATTGAGCAATGAGGAATCTTTTTCGTTCCATCATCTACTGCGATACGGGACCTCATATCAGTTTACTTAAACAATAAAATGCTTTCTTTGTTTGTTATTACTGGAATGAACGGAAGCAGCTGTTGCAGAAAAAATACATAGCCCGCGTAAGCGGGTTATGTAAATTTTTTCTGCAATAGCTGCGACCGTTATTTCCAGTAATAACAAACAAAGAAAGACATTTTATTGTTTATATTTATATCTGTTTAAATTATCATTTTAAATAGGATTAAAAATATTAATTATTGTGTTAATGATGCGAACGTCTTTGTACGTTTCATTGATGGAACGGCCACTGATCAAGAAATCTGTACAGGTGATATGCCTTATGTAGTTAATGCAGTGATCGATGAACGCAATGGGTTTTCTTAAGAAATAAAGAAGAAAATATTCAGTGGATGTAAATATATGTTTATGATCTCATCTGCAGGACATGTATCCACGTCCCACAGAAAGATTCGACAACGTACAACGTACGGATCGACCACTGCGCCACGTGGGTTACTTCAAATAAAAGAAAGAAATGGGAACATAATGTACCTACATGTATCTCCACGAATTTCATCAATTGTTGATGATTCATTTTATAAAACTTTTCAAGTGATACATTATATTCCAGTCATTAATCAATCTCTCTTCTTAGCTCTATTTCCATTTATAATGTTTATCTAAATGAAAAGTCCATGAAAAGGAGATATATTTTTCATATTCTTAGAATAAAAATCCTTACTAAGTTATTTTGTTTTTACGATAATTTAGTATGAAATAATTATTTTAATGCATGTCTTGGATTCAAATTAGAAAATCATACTTAAAAAACACAAAAGCATGCTTTTTCTTACCTGGAAACACTTTCACAACGGATCTACTTGAAACCAGGCAAACAGCACATGGTACGTCATGATCATAAAAAGAAGTAAAGTGATCTTAGAAATGACTTGATTGGTACTCTGCTCCGTAGATGTAAACCCTATGTCCCTCTCTTCCGTCCCTGTAGATCCCCCACTCTTGATCTTTCGGCAAACAAAGAGGATCTACAGCTGCTCCTGAATGTGTATAATATGATCCACCGGTATATCCTATAAAAATTTGAATACATGAATTATTATTTACAACTGGTGTAAATATATATTA